AATTTTGACAGTTGTTTGTTTCATAGAAAAGAATAACCAGCCTAAGGAAAGCTACTTTGTGTGCATGCCTGTCAGTCAACCTGAATCGATCACCTCTCCTCTCCTCGTGTGGCAATCCCAGAGAACTTTCGGTAGAAATACCTGGAAGAGGACGGAAATGGGACACAAGTATCTCATCTAGAGAAAGGATATCAGAGCCAAATAGCTGTGAAATGGGAAACGGCGGGATATAAAAACCCAAATTAAAAAAAAAACAGAAGAATGCTTCTTAGGTGAACCTGAGTCACTTTATTCTGTTTGCGTAGGGTTTCAGAGTGTGCAGAATTTGGCAATTTATTTTAAAAAAAAACAACCTTTAATCCTGAAGTCGGTTTTCTGTAAGCTTTTTTTGGAACAAAGGAGCAAAGTAGGCCATTCAGCCCTCAAATCTGTTCCACAATTCTATTACATCATGGCTAATCTGTATCTCAACTTCATTTACCCTTAATACCCTGACCTAACAAAAATCTATTGACCTCATTCTTGAAAATTTGATTTGATCCAGCATCTATAGCCTTTTGGGAGACACAGTTCCAGATTTTCACTACTTTTGAGAAAGTACAGAACGACGACTTTGAAGTTAGGATATAATTCAAGAGCTGAAGTTATTTTGTCTTGGAATCTTATGGTCCTATTCTACCAAAAGCTGAATATCGATGGAGAAATCGTGCAGTTCAGTAGGTCGGGTACAGCCACAGTATTCGTGGGATAAAGCACAACAACAGGTCAATACAGAAATTGTAGAAAACGGAACTGCCCCCAAAAGAACCTATTTACTTGTTCGCATCTGGGAAAAGAGTGAGACTCAAGTGTCATTTGCAGAGAATGATAATAATAATCTTTGCATTTGATATAATGCCTTATCACATCTTCGAAACGTCTCAAAGTGCTTCACAGAATATACTGTAAAGTGAATTGACTATGTATTTGGTGGGCTAAACCTGGCAGCCAATTGCACACAGTCTTGGATTGAGTGACCAAATTTGTTTTTGAGGGATTATTACTCACGGCAAGTGATCTGCCAGTAGTCTAACAACCAGGTTCCAACTTACTGCGAGGTAAACAGAGGCAATCTTTTGATAGTTGGAGAAAATCATCCCCTGCGGAGCAGGAATAAATAAATACCTTTCAACCGAGTGGGTGGTGATTGTGTAAAACTGCTCAACCCTGCCTAATCCAAGTTAGTGCAAACCATCCCTAGCTGTAGACCACTAAACCTCTTGTTCTTTCAGCCACAACCTCTGTCCTTCCTCTGAACATTGAGCATGAATATCTGCCAGCTAAAGGTTCAACATTAATAGAATTACATTTCTATCCTTACAGCATTTCCGCCACCACAGCTGATCTACTCCTTTATCATTATATTTCCACCACCAGTGATCTCAAGGAGAATTCAACCCTTTTTTGGAACGTCCTCTTGATGTGAAAGGCGATTTACAAATGTAAATTGTTGTTGTTGTTCTCCGGTTTGTCCAGCGCCCTGAGATGTCTTTCCGACATAAAGGGCGCGATACAAGTGTAATTGTTGTTTTCTCTCTCTCTCCACCTCCACACTCGGAATCTAACTTCACCAGGTAAAGAAAGCAATTTCTTTCTGAGTTTTCCTTGAATGATTGCTAGGATTCCCTTAAGATAGAGTTCTCGACCACCAACTTACATATTCATATTTTAGACTGTGTACGACAGAAAAAAATAATTGCTTCTTAAGTTGGCAATCAGTCCTTCAATTTCCTCCATTGCTCAGCCAAATGGCTTTATCTTTTCCTCAGCCTAAACTGAACATAGTTCAATCCATATTCTAAGTCAGCTGCTAAAAAATCTGAAACCAATTTCTGTTCTTTCACATTATTCACATTAATTTAGCTATTCTCGCTCATTGATTGTATGAGATAAACTTTCTGTGAGCAAACTACACCGGGGGGGGGGACTGTTATTACTGTAGTTCTGCAAACAAGCGAAGACTGCAACATGAGAGCGCACGGGTTCAGCGTGGTGAGTGAGGGCAAGTTTATGACTGGCATCGGGAAGTATTTCTTTATAAAGGGTTTGACTGACCATTGGAATAAGCTGTTGTTATGAGATCTACACAGCCTCAGTGACACTCAGTGATAGCTGCACAAACAATGCCATCTAGTGGTAACTTACATTTTGTGCCACACAAATCCTTTTAAGTGAAAACTAATTTTAAAAATGACATTTGAGATTTTCTTTAGAGAATTGTAAATAAGAATACACTCGTCTTCAGTTAAAATTATTGTGCATTCAAACATCTCACCTGAAGAATGGTACCTCCGACAAAGCAGCGTTCCAGTACGGTACTCCAGAGGACTGCTGATGACTGAGCAGCCAAGCCTGGCTCACCAGCAGGACTTGATTAGGCAGGATTCTTCCCATTCAGCTCATTAACCCTGCAAGTCAAAGCACTGATGGGTAGGGTGGTCCAAGCTGGACAAGCAATGGGAAGCTTGCCAGGCAGAGGTCTTAATGGCAAGCCATGCTGTTTCAGCTGGTTGAACTCCAGCATTACCACAACTCACATTCTGGGGTTCCCCCCACCACCCTTACCTCTCGCCAAACTGTGACTAATTCTCTCTGGAATTAGGTAAGCAGGGTGCATCCCTCCAGGGAGAGAGGGTGCATTGTATTCCGGGCACAGGGAAATTTCCCTTGTGTTGGTAGCATACATATGTGGAACTTGCAGTCTGGTTTGGAACCTCTTAACAGGAGACAGCTGTCCACATGTCAGAAATTCTGCTGATCGAAAGCAATTACCAATAGAAGAAGTTCACAGCCCCAGTATACATGAAATCCCTATATTAGTTGAGGATTGGTCCAGGGTACCTCTAAACCAGCATACCTTGAGGGACTTGATAGGCCTTTTTGAAAGTTAGTTTGCAAGCAGCTGGCAGAGAGCACACCAGACCTTGTACTTACGGTCTCTGACCACATGATCGCAGTACATAATGCCAGGAGGAAGAGAAATAAATGTCAAAATACATTTTAATAATGTTCATCAGATGAGGGATTTATAAATGCTGCAATTTCTGTTCCATTATTACTCAATGTACAAATGTAACAGAGTTTGATGATAAATGGTAATATAGAACAACGCATATAGTCTTAAAACAGGGAGAATGTCACAAGCAGCCCAGACTACATCAATTAATAACAATCCTTGAAATCATGTCATAAATAACCATCTCCAAGCACTTCACGGGATTTACTGTGGAGTAAATCTGTCTGTCTGCTCAGGTGGATGTTAAAGATCCCATGGCATTATTTGAAAAAAAAAGGAAGTTTTTTCCCAGTGACTTAGCCAACAATCCCCCAATAAAAATTAGTCGTTGACTTTGTGGTTGTTCGTGGGACATGGCTGTGCGCAAATTGGCTGCTGCATTCACCAACAAAATATATAGACACTGCACTTTGAATGCTGTGAAGTGCACTGTGACATCCTCCTGACGTGAAAAGGCACAATCCCCAATCCAAGGATTATTGTATTATTATATTAGAGTGCAGTGACTTCACACTTTGTAGATGAACATGGCAGCTGAAACTGCATGTCAAAGCTGGGTTGGGCGAGAAAGCACTTGCACGTAAACTTCAGTCAGTACATGTTGTGCCACACATCTGCAATTTTAGCCCGTGTTTCAGGAGCCTCCCTAAAGCTAAATTAGAAGCAACTTCAAGCACCTCCAACCCAACCAGCAGTGTGCATTGAGACTGTTTGGTTCTAAACGTGAAACCAAAGTGAACGTACAGAGTTGTGAGGATGTGATTCGGATTCAGGAAGCAGTATATAATAGATAATCATGAGGGAGATCACATATAATGTAGGGCATATTATGTGGATTCGTATTACATCCATGTTATACAGGAGTCCTGTACAGGAGTACATGTAACCCTGTACATGTTATACAGGAGTCCTGTAGCTCGGTGGTCAGAGCACTCGCCTCGAAAGCGAGAGATCTGGTATCTATTTCCGACAGGGCGAAATGTTGGGCAAGTTTCCTTACTCCACACACCTCTGTTTACCTAAAAGTAACTAGGAACCCGGTTGTTACACGATTGGCGGATTGCTTTTCCGGGAATAATAATCCCTCAAGAAAAAAAAAACAATAATAAATTTGGTCACTCAATCTACGACTGTTTGTGAGACATCGCGTTTCACCCACAAATAGACAGTCAATCACGTTACAGTATATTCTGTGAAGCGCTTTGAGACGTCTAGAAGATGTGAAAAACACTATATCAAATGCAAGGATTATTATTTTTATGTTGTTCGTAAAAATACAAGCCATAATGATTGTTATATTGTTTATTTTAATATGCTGTGTTATCACACAAATCTTTGAAGGAGGCAGGACAAGTTGACAAAGCTGTTAAAAAAGCATATGGGATCCTTGGCTTTATAAATGGAGGCATAGAGTATAAAAGCAAGGAAGTTCTGCTAAACCTTTATAAGTCATTTGGTGGACGCTCAGAGAGAGAGAGAGAGAGACAATGGCAATGCACACACTCATAAGCACACACACACAGAGAGAGGCACACACACAAACACTCGGAGAGAAAGACACACACAACAAATATTGACACACTCTCACAGAGAGAGACACCCACCCAGAGACAGACATACACACACTCAGAGACAGAAACACTCACAGACACAGAGAAACACGCTCACAGGCACACAGAGAGAGACATACACAAACCTTTAATCTTGAAAGAAGACGACTTAAGCGGGACCTGATAGAGGCAATTAAAATTGTAAATGGGATTCAAACGGTAAACTCTAGAATAATACTTTCAGATGCAACAAGACATTTGAAAGAGGACATGTGTTTAGACTTTAAAAGGGCAAATTCAAGCCAGATACCAGAAAGTTGCTGTTAATCTAGAGAGTAATATTACCTGTTGTGGCTTTCTAATTCATAAGCAATGGGGAACAAATTACCCGTGAGTCAAGAGGATTTTTGGGGGCATGTTTTATCCATGAGATGCTTTCTGGTATTTTTATGGGGTTTTAACAAAATAACGTAACATTTGGGAGCAAATATGCAGATCAGCAGAGCAAAGCTTGATGACAAAATAGCAAAGATTTCCACAGCGACTGTATACTTTCCAGGGGAACTGACGTACGCAGGTATGAAGGCCAACCAAACAGCACCAAAAACAAGCATGCTGAAGGTGATCAATTTAGCCTCATTGAACTGATCTGGCAACTTTCGTGCGAGAAATGCAAGCACAAAACTCATACAGGATAAAAAACCTATATAGCCTAACACACAGCAAAAGGCTGACACTGAGCCCAGATTACATTCCAAAAGAATCTTTTCACTGGAATACTCAACGTTCCTTGCTGCAGAGGGTGGTGACACAAGAAGCCACACAACACAAATGATGACCTGTATAAGTGTACAGCTGAAAACACTGAGTACCTGCTGCAGAGTGCCCAACCATTTCCACACATTACTATTGGGAAGAGTTGCCTTGAAAGCAATCAGCACAACCAGAGTTTTTCCAAGAACACAAGAAATACACAGAACAAAGCTCACCCCAAACAGTGTGTGACGCAGCATGCAAGTCCAGGTGGAGGGCTGGCCCATATAGGTGAGTGAACACAAGAAGCAGAATGTCAAAGAAAAGAGCAGCAGGAAGCTGAGCTTGGAGTTATTGGCTCGGACAATTGGAGTATCTCTGTGATATAATAAAACTGCCGCAACGATGATTGTGCTGAGAGCCCCAAGAGCTGAGCCTGTTGTCAGCATCAAGCCCAGTGGCTCTGCAAAGGACAGAAACTCAAGTTCCTTTGGGATGCATTTGTTTCTCTGTAGGTTTGACCAGGAATCTTCGGGACACGGAATACAGTTCAGCGAATCTAGAAATTAAATATTTTTATTAGCCACATTTTATTATGCAATTTAAATAACCTCACCAACTTGTGGCATGTATTATCGCTGTGATCAGCCAGTGCCTGACACATGTGGAAACCCATCACTATGATTAAGCAGTGTCTGACACACTCAAAAACCCTTAGGATCTTTAATTGTATATTCCATTTGGAGCTTGGACAACAGCTTCTTACCTCTGCATACTATCAAGATGGATATATAAATGTGTGTTCATAAACTCAGACGCCATGTAACGTCTAGTAACATGTAACGCCATGTAGCTGTCAACTGAAGCCTCAGTGCTTCCTCATTTTTGAGGGGTCAGCCAGGTGTGTGATTTATGTGGATAACCCATCGCCATGCTTAGGAGTATCCAAAGCAAGAATTCCATGCATCGAATCTACATATGAAAATCCCAGAGATAAATTGTTGGAATGGAATACGCACTCTCTCCCTGAAGGGATGCATCCTGCTTATCTAATTGCAGAAAGTATTAGTCGCAGGTTGTCAAGAACCAATAACCAGCTAAAACCACATAGCTTGCCATTGATCTCAATGTCTGACAAGCTTTCCCGCTGTTTGTCCAGCTGGGATGCCTCACCCATAAAGGCTTTGGCTTGCAAGGTTAATAAGAGTTGAGTGGGATGACTCCTTGGAACAGAGTTGGCTTTACAGTGGGCACATCTATTTGCCTGTGAAGGTCCTCCCTCCACACCCTGAAGACACATAGCTGACAAGGAAATGCTGAGGCTTTGGGCGACAGCTGCTAGACAGCCTTACCTGGAGTCTGAGTTTGTACCCAATTCAGGGCTTGGAATCCAACTTAATTGGTTTTACATAGAGGTCAGCTCCACACCTCCATCCTGTGGAACCCCGCTCAATGGGAAGGATGTGTGTATCCGAGCTGTGGGCAGGAAATTGGTAACACTCATGTAATCTCCTCTGAGGTGGGCAGGTCCAGCCGGTCCTGGTTTAGCTCCTATCAGGTACATCCCCAGCCAAAGCACAAAGTACCCATAGGTCATTAAAATCATCAATGAGACAGAAATAAAATAAAAACAAATCCATTTATCCAGAACTGGGTTTCTTGTGAGCTGAGGTTCAGAGCATTCAAGTTGAGAGAGTAGCACCAGTTTGGCTCAGTGGCTAAGCTATTTCTCCTCTGGGTCAGAAAGAGGTTTCAACTCTCATGCTGGGATTTCAGATGAAAGTCTAACCATATTGTGGATACTTCATTGTTTCAAACATTAAACTGAGATGAACGTTAAAGATCCCATGCCATGACCCTCAAGATTTAAATGACTCACTTGTCCTGTTGCTAATTTCACCATCTGGGCAGAGCAGACAATCATAACAGCAAACTGGCTCCCCATTTCGAGCTGCTTGTCTACTCCCGGGAGTGCAAGGCTCAGTACATGCGGACTGTGGCACCTGCAGTACACACACATGCACACACACACACGTGTCAGCACAAAACACGTCACATGGACACAAATAACCATTAATAATACATGAGTTTGAATAATTGACCCCTTTAGAGTGCGCCTGGGATAACCTCCTTGCCTGATTATGTTAATAATCGCTACATGTGGTATAACCTCATTTCACATCGGGATTTTTCACATCCACATAAACAGGTACAAATGAGACTTTGGCTGCATGTCTCATCTGAAGGTCAGCACCTCTGATAATGCAGTGTTCCCTCAGCGCCACACTGGACTTTATTTGGCACAATATTGAAATGTCAGTCTCGACTGTGAACTCAAAATTCCATTGTGGACCTTAAATCCACAAACTTCTGCCTTAAGAGATGAGAGTAAATAAACAATCACATTTGTCTTGTTTTATTATGTTTGTAAATTGGATTTCGTAATTTCGTTTGGTAATTTGTTACACTGCACACCAGCTACACTGGTTAAGACAACAAAAACTTGCACTTATATCACGCCTGTCAAGTCAGATGAACGTCTCAAAGCACTTCACAAAGATGACGGGGTTAATTGGAAGACAGGCAATTTAAGGGTATTAATTAAAGATACAATCAAACATGTGGAGGTGGTTACATAATTGGGAGAGATGATGTGATGATGATGACAATTTATTGGCAATAATTATCAATGTCGCACTTCACAATTTCTCTAAATGTTATGTAAAATGTCATCAAAAATGGATAGGTTGCTCGAATAGGTTGTGATTACCTGCTTTTGATTATTGTGCCAAATGATAGCTTCCTGGTTTATCAGAAGATCCTGCCCCAATCCTCCATCTGCATCAAACCTACCAACCTGGACATATCGAATGGAACCATCTGATTGTCTTTGCCAATTAATAATATCATACAATGCAGCAGGATTCCCATTGCTGTCGAAGGTCATGTCTCCTGCCGAAGTACTGTTGTATCTCAACCTGTGCAGGTAATGAAGAAGCTGCGGAAACAGTTTTAAATTTGTTTGGCTGTCTGACACGTATGTTAACCCATTACCGTGCTTTAGAGCAATTCTAATCCAACACTAATTGGCACACGTGTATGCCACCTGTACATTGACAATTCCCTGTGATTTCTGTGCCTTTCACATTAGGATGACATCTCAAAGTGCTTCACAGGATTTACTGTGAAGTATCGTGACTGTGTGTTTTATGGTTCAGGGTAGCCAGTAGCTTATGTGGGGAGAAGGAGGAGAGGAAATCCGACAACTCAGGGTCACTCTTGCTTCTGAGTCAGAAGTTATAGGTTCAACCCCACATTGGAACTTAAACTCACATCATCTAAATTGACACTCCAATGGATTCCTGGAGGTGGGCGGGGGTTGCATTGTGAGAGGTGCAGTCCTTTGGAAAGATGTTAAAACAAAGATCTCGACTGCCTGATCAGGTGGACATTAAAGATCCCATGACACTGTTCAGAAAGAGAATGGAGTTTATTTGGTTGTCCTGGCCGACAAGCCCCCAGATAAAGTTGGTCAATCATTTCATGGCTATTTGCGGGACCTTACTGTGTGGAAACTGTCTGCTGGGTTTGCCCACAAATATAGTCACTGCACTTCACAGTATACTCTATGAAATGCATTCCCAAAGTGAAAGGAGAAATAGAACAGGAGTTCTATTTTGTCAACTTTCAACTGAAGGAAATTAGACCTCATCCAGTCCTTAATGTCTGGCAGGCAACTGGTCAGAATAGCAATGGTCTTGGAATGAAGGGTGGAGGAAGAGAAATAGAGTTGGGTGTCACCTGTGGAAGTGAGCCCTATACCTGTGGATAATGTCATTGAGTGACAGGTAGATGGCGTAAAGGCGAGGGCCAAAGATAGAGCCCTGAGGAATGCTGCACGTGACTGTTGGTGATAGGAGGAGAAACCATTAGCAGAGATGAAAGTAAGAGTGAAACCAGGATAAGACAGAACAGTGAAGGTGAAATAGAGAGGAAAGATGGCAGAGAAGATATAGTTCATCGTGTTCAAGTATTAGTAAGGTGCAGAAGATCAAAAAGGTAAAGAGCCCTAGTCACAGAATTAAAGAATGTTGTTGTCTCAGTGCAGTGGGTGGAATGGAAACCAGATTATAGGTCATGAAGCAGTCAAGGACCGAGTGGGAAGAATTCCTGACCCAAGGCAGTTCTGCAGTACTCCAGACACAAGGAAATTTCCATGTGTAGGTAGCATACATATGTGGAATTCTAAGTTTGGTTTGGATATTCTTAAGCATAGTGATAGACTTCTACAGGTGTTAGAGCAAACAAAAACACAAGTATCCCATGTGTCCCTACCTGCCAAGCACTGAAGTTAGAAATCTTGGCACAGCTATTGTCTGGTAATATTTCACCACTACTGACACAAGATTTCAAATTGTGAAGCGAGTGAGCAATTGCATAGACTGCTTTGTAAACGTTGTAAGAAACTCTCAATTCAGAGACGTCCAAATAGATACTGTCAGTCTTACTGAGGTCCTCGGAGCCTGTGCACGGCTGGTATCTAAGTACCGATGCATTGTGCTTTTCAATACCAGCTTGCTTGCTCAGCCAACATTTGAACATTGTTTCCCACAATTCTTTCACCAGTCCATTCTCAGGAGATTTAAAAGGATCCACTTGGAGCAGAAAGTCTCTCAGCCCTGGAATTTCTGCTCTGGGAATGGCAAACCCTATTGTCCCATCCAAGACTGGAAGATGTTCTACTGTTGCCATGAGAGATGAGGTGACCCAAGCCTCGCTGGCGATCCATTGGTGCCCAGTGATGTTTTGCTGGACAACTTCTTTAATCAGAGGATATGCATCTCCCTCAAGGGCAAACATGACAATGACTCTTGCCGTAGATCTTTTGATTGTCTCTGTTATTTGAAGGATTCTTTCTCTGGAATATACCTTCGGAATGAGCTCAGTGAAGGCAATGCACACTCCCAATTTTTTAACTTCATCAGTGAACGCTTGAGTTCCGTACCGACCATAGTCATCATCACCTGCAACTGAGCCAACCCAGGTCCAGCCAAACCTCTGCACCAGGCGCACTACTGCTCTGGCCTGAAAGGTGTCACTTGGTATTGTTCGAAAAAAGGCTGGGAACTCTTCTCTGTTACTGAGACAGGAACAAGATGCAAAGTAACTGACCTGCGAAAGTCAGAAACAGCATTAATTTGTCAAAGTAGCTCACGTATTTTAGAAAAAGAGCCGCAATTCAGCCTGTCTACTCTCACTCTCTGGAATGCCCTCTGAGTCCCTTTGCTTCACCCCTTCTCTGGCCTCTTTCAAGGTCTATTTCAAGACCTTCCACTTCTGACCGTGCCTTTGGTCATCTTGGAAGTCTTTGTTCTCTTAAGTAAAGCACAGCATCAGTTTATCGTCAAAGGCAATATTTGATGAAAACAACCGCCACAACAATTGTGGAACATGAGACTTTTAAAGTGATCGGAACGTGATGATTGATTGAAAAAGGGGTGGTGGGGAGTGAACACAAGATCAGGAAAATATTTTTAAGGGGTGATAAGTATTGGTCACAACTAGTCTGAAATTGAAACAGCCTCTAGAGGAAAGACAACTGTTTCATGGATTGGTAAATATGTCTTTCTGTATGTGCACATCAATAAAACAGGTTATTGATGGAGAACCTGTCTCTGGTTGTCTCTGTGTTCGAAATCTGAAAATTAATATTTTATTTTATTTAAAGTAAATATGATACAAGATTGATCCATTGCAATCAACAAAATGATTTATATAAGTTTATCATTAACTATGCTAAGGATTATATTTATTATTATTTGCCAACTCTCTGCCCACTAATAATAATAATGTTTGTTACATCCATCCAGATGAACTAGATCTTGATTCAGCAAAAATAGAGATAGAAAGAGCGATACTTCATCTGACTCAAACTTCGACTCAACAAAAATTATATTCCTCCTTCTCGAAAGTCAGGAAAATATTATAAGAAATCTCTACTGAAGAGATGACTGGTAACTTCCAGAAATCACCATGAATAAGATAGAAAAATGAACATTTAGAGAGGTAATGCAATGCTACTTCATAACAGCCATACAACATCCATACGAAGGAATTCTAAAGAAAGTGTTTGAAATATGGAGAAAAAGAAATCCTAAAACAAGACCGACAATGATAGTAAAAAAACTAGCTACAACTGGAAGATACATTGTAAGTGACAAAAAAAAACCCTGAAGAAGTAAGAAATTGAAACTGGCTGTCACGTTTCGTTCGCAAAATATTGTCAATTCACTTTATGGTATATTCTGTGAAGTTCTTTGAGAAGTTTTGAAAACGTGATCAGGCGCTATATCAAATGCAAGGATTATTATTATAAACAAAAATGAAACAACTGAAGGAAAACAAGAATTGAAAAAGAGATTAATGATTACAGAAGTGATCACTCCATCCTGACCGAAATACACAATTTAAATAATCAATATCAAAAATGATAAACCTTCGCCGGAAATACTGCATGATAAATGATGAAAAGCTCCGCAAAAAATCAAGCAAAATCCCAGAGAATAAGATGACAAAACAAACCATATTACCAGAATAAAATTAAGAAATGTAAAGTTGTTTTATAGGGATATTGGAAAAAAGCTCAACCAAGTGAAAGTACCACCTGCGTTCGAGGAAATAGAAGAGTTTTGGAAGAATATACGGAAAAAAGACTGACAATTATCACAAACAGACTGAACGCATTAAAAGACAAACTAGGAAAAAAATGAACATCTTGATAATAACCATGGATAGATATCTCAGAAAAAAGTAGTTACAGAATAAATTATAAAATCACAAAACTGGAAATCACCTGGAATTGACCAACTGCAGAAATTTTGATTGAAGAATGTTGAATTTTGAAACAATTGCAAGAGAATTCTCAAAAATTATCAGACAAACTGAAACAGAGCTCAAATGGCTAATGTCTGGTTTAACTATGCTAAGAGCAAAGAATGAACAGACAAATATCCGAAAAACTATCATTACGACACTATAAAATACTGACATCTCCCAAGATATTCCTGTCAAAAAGTGCCACCCTATGATTCCTCTTACCATGGGAATTTGGAACGGTGCAAGGGTCCTGAGTATAATCATGGACTGGGTGGATCCTGAGTCTCCTATAATTATAGGCACAGAAGAGTTTTCCGCACAGCTCTCACCGGCAAATGTTTCCTCCTCTCCACTTGCTGAGGTGATGGCAGATCTCAGTGCCTGGCTGTGTGTTCCACAAGTGTCAAAGATCTGAAAGCCAAGTTTCACCCCAGGAAGAAGCTCTCCATCTCTGTTGATTTCATCGATCGCAAAAACCATTGTTTGCAGCCAACGGAATGCCCTGAAATCAAACCTGAAAATGTGGATGGGTTTAATTCCCTCGAAAAATTAACTAACCTGCAGCAATCACAAATGTGTTTATATTACATAAATCGTTATTTATATTCTTACTCCAAGAAATTAGTATGGTCCTAAGACTACATCGTTGCTCAATGCACAACATTTTCTCTGGCAAGTCTCCTGCTGCTTATCCAGCTAGCATGGCCATACTTCTTGGGACTTTGTCTTACAGGAGCTGAGTGGGAGGATTCCCTGCCCCCAGTGACTGGTCTGTCCCTCCAAGTCCTGCCAATGAGCCAGACTGCCTGTGCCATCATCAGCAGTGCCCCGAAGTACTGCTAACTCGCCTGGCTCAGGAACCAGATTATTAAGACTGCCTCATAGGATTGACTCAATTCTGACTTTCTGTTACCAAGCGGATATTTTTGAGGAAGTCATAATTGTCTACATGAACTTTCAGGAAGCAGTTGATAAGAATTTGCAAAGCAGATATAGGTTTAAATTAAGGTTCACGGAATTATGATAATAATCCTCGCATTTGATATAATTATTATTTTTTTTATTATTACTTCCTGGTGTGACAAGTAGACTGCCTGAGTCACAGAAGCTTTGAGTACAAACAAGTGAACATGGAATCAGGCAATTTATCTGTACAGAAACTTACCAAGAAAATACACTGAATAGAGGACCAGTTTTATACTCTGATTAATAACACAAGGCAGAAGTCATTGAATCCCAATGACACATTAGAACATACTGGCACTATGTATATATAGAACAATAAACATTTACAGTACAGAGTATTTGATCTATCTTCTGTACTGCATAGAGTAATCCATTCAGTTCCTGCTTTATTCCCCACCCCAGTAAAAATTATCCCGTTATCCCAGCAGATTATATGAAATGCAAGAATTATTATGTTTTTGAAAAAACTAATTGGATGTAAACTGATTTTACGAAAGGTGACATTATGTATAATAATCTTATATGCAATGAAGAGAGGGTGAAAGGATTGACTCTGCCATGGCCAAGAATCCCACAAATAAAATCAGTCATTCACTTCATCTCTATTAGTGGGTCATTGCTATGTGCAAATCAGCTGGCACATTCATCTACAAAATACACAGTCACTACACATTATTGTATATTCTGTGAGGCATTTTGAGACATCCTCCTGATGTGAATAACCCTTGATCCATGACTACAGTTCTGATGGACTTCAAGTCCTGGATGAGAACTAACTTTTTCCAGTTGAATGTTGACAGGGCAGAGACTCTCCTGCTTGGCTCCTGTCAGCACCTTCTCATCTTCAGGCGCTGACAGTATCCATCAACATTAGATGCACTCTCCACTTCATGGAGCCACTGCGGAACCTCAAGGTCTTGTTCAACTCTGAATTGTCCTTTAAACTGCACATTCCTGCCCGAACTCATTCAGCTTTCCCCCACCTCTGCCATTACCTCTCCCCTTGGGCTGCCGAGACCCTAATCAATACTTTTAACACATCCAGGCTTGACTACAGCAACTCTCTGCTCGCCAAACTATCCAACTCTTTCCTCCACAAGCGGCAGATCCAGAACTCAGCATCTTATGCACTCTCCCACACTAGACTCCACAAACCTATCACCCCCATCCTCACCTGGCTCCATTGGCTCCCCATCTCCTAGAGTAAGACCATAAGACCACAAGATGTCATAGAAGGAGGAGGCCACCCTGACATTTAATAAAATCATGGCTGATCTTCTAACCTAATTCCATTTACCCACCCTACAGGTATCCCTTAATCCTTCTATCCTTTAGAAATCCATCAATCTCAGTCTTGAATATGTTCAAAGATTGAACATTTACAGCCTTCTGGGGAGAGAATTCCACAAATTCACTGCCTTCTGAGTGAAGAAATGTTTCCTCAACTTAGTTTGAAAAGGCTGGCCCTTAATCTTGAGATTATGATCCCTAGTTTTAGATTTTCCAACCAGAGGAAACAGTCTCACGGCATCTACCCTGTCAAGACCTTCCCAGAGTGTTAAGTTGAAGATGCTTGTCCTCACTTTTGAATCCCTCCATGGTCTTGCTTCAACCTACCTCTGTGACCAACCCACCTGCTCTCTCTGCTTGGCAACCACTGACCTACTTTATATCACCCACCCTGCCCATCCTATCATCGGTGGTCAGTATTTCAGGCTTTCTGCCCTACACTCTCTGGAACTCCATCTCGGATTCCCTTTGCCTTGTATCTTTCCTCATCTCCTTCAAGGTCTGCCTCAAGACCTTACTCTTTGACTGCACCTTTGCTCGTGTTTCCAACCCACCCTTGACCCCTACCCTTCCCAAATAACCCCCAGCTCGGGTAGAAACCCTTGACTGTCCAGAACCTTTGGACATCCTCACGATGTGAAAGACACTATATAAATCCAATTTGTTGTTGTTATGAACTGGCTATACCAAAGGTAAGGATTATTATTATCTTTCACATCGTGCTCCTATATGGAGTGATCTTTTACGGTGATCTTGATTTCTGTGAGTGCATAAATAAAAAATAGAGAATTAATCAACCTCACAGATGTACACTTGATATGTACCTAACATGTACCAGGAGACATTCTCAGCACCTGAGTGATAACTTAGCAGCAGACTTGTTTGCGTTTATTGCCAGTAGGTGAGAGTAAAGAACATGTTACTCTGCAGGAATAATGCTGTGGAAAATAGTAATCTCAAGATTGGTTTGGATAAGGAAGGTCCTTCAGCCCGTCTGAACTCATTCCTACAGAAGACCTACTCTACCAACCCCGATCACAGCACGATCAACTTCAAAAAGGCCAGAAAACATAAATTAGCAGTAAATTTTCACTAAATTTACCAGCCATATTTTGCATGAAATTTTTTTTCAAACACAAAAAACAGACCAACCAGGAAAATAGACTTTTTTTTGTACTCAATGGTCCTTGGGTATTGAATAAGGCATCATTTGGTATGGGTGCTGAGCACACTTACCCTTCACAGTGAGGAGCTTCTGGCTTTAGGCTGAAGGATAGGTCTGGCTCAATAACTCTGTAATGAACTGGAAACAAACCAGTCAGGATCACATCTCCGTCTTGAAACATCACTGAGAGTTTGAACTGTGCTCGCCGTGTACAGTGTGGCTGGACTGTCACAAGGACAGAGAGCAGCAGAGATACAAAGCTTGAGAACAAAGACATCACAGCTTGTCATGCTCTGGAATGAGACTGGGCTTGCCTCTGTTTGTTTTATATGTAGAGAAGCTAGAGGAGATTTAAAAGGAAATTGAATAATTCCCTAAAATGTCCCTCCTCCTCATGTGAACAAATCTCAACTTGTTTCACCTTTGAGACCATGTATTATGGAAAGAAAACACAATGAGAGGATTAGTCTATTCCCGTCCATGTATTTGTGCTTGTCACATCAAACTACAAAACTACAACTCTCTTCTCATAAAGCAATTATGGAATTAAGGGCAGAGTGTAGCCAAGTGTTACTAATGAAACTGAATGTGAGTGTGCTGTCTGGGAAATCATTTCTTTCACAGCTTCACTTCACTTTTAACCTTTGTTTGTACAGTCATTCTGTACAACTGTACAAGTACAGTTGTCCAGCACCTAGGGATGTCCGCCCAATGTGAAGGGCACTATAGAAATGTAATTTTGTAATGTATTTGTTTGGACTTGGACTTGTGTGAAGTGACCAGAAATAGTCACTTAAATACGCATATGAAACCCAAAGCTACTAAAATTATCAAATTAAAATTATTCAGTAGAGAGTGGGTATTTCCATAGGGATAGAGAGAGAGAGAGAAAATTACCTGTGATTATCTTTTGCAAAGTTACAAAATTACCTTTTGCAGGCTGATAACAATGTTTTGCATGACAACAATGTCCCAAAAACAGCCATGACGGCCAGGATACTGGGAGAAACTAAGGCAAAATACTCCAGATGCTGGAAATCTGAAATAAAGTCACTGGGAACATTCAGCAGGTCAGGAGGGTATGTATGGAGAGAGGAAATTGAGTTAACGTTTCAGGCGATGATGTTTCGTCAGAACTACTCAGAGGCCATGCTTTCAGCCAATCCACCTTGAAACTGGAACTCTCATCGCAAACCCTCTCTGCCTTGCCTCCTCCTTGCCCATCTTTTGATCTCACCTGAAGACCTTCCCCTTCAACTGTCACCTCCCCCTCTTGTTGACTCAACATCAAGCTCCCCCACTGTTGAGCACTCTGAAAGGTTAACCCCCACCTGGATGGCGCTATATAAATGCAAGTTGCTGTTGTTGTTTGCATCAGTATCAGACATCTACCCAAAACCCCCAAAATTGTCTGATTTTTAAAAAATTATATATTTCCATTTCTTTTTGACCATGCTTTCGGTCATCTTTTCCCCTTCGCATCCCAGCTCAGCTGGAAAGTGTTGAGCGCTTTGAGATGTCCTTCCAATGTGAAAAAGGTGTTGTGTAAATGTGACCCGCAGACATTTCTCAAAGAGGCAATCTAGCCCTCAGTAGCCAAAAGATTGAACCACACTGCTTTAACCTGGTGTATGGCTCCTTTTTCCATTGCTCTGAGTTCACAAAACGGTGCTTCAAAACATTATCCTATGTGAAAGGCGCTATATAAATGCATGCTATTGTGGTATGTATGTAACTACAAGCCATTTTAGCATTCTCAATTTTTATTAAAGTAATATTTCAATAATGTCAAGAGTATTAATGCACCATCAACTCCATTTTACACAGAATAATCAAAACTACTCAACGGTAATATATAATACTAATAACAATACTTGCATTTGATATAGTGCCTTATCAAGTCTTCTGGACATCTCAAAGCGCTTCACAGAATATACTGTAAAGTGAATTGACTCTATATTTGTGGGTGAAACGCGGCAGCCAATTGTGACAGCAACAACAAAATACAACAAAATTACATTTATAGAGCGCCTTTCACTTCGGGAAGATGTCCCAAAGTGCTGAACAGTCAGATGTTGGGGCCCGAGCATGGAGGGGAAGTGGTTTAGGGGTGATGGAAGGCAGAGAGGTGGGAGGGCGACCAAAGGCACAATCAAAGAGAAGGGTCTTGAGACCAGCCTTGAAGGAGGCAACGGAGGAAGCGAGGCGAAGGGACCGTAGGATGGAGTTCCAGAGTGTGGGAGTAGAGAGGCTGAAAGCCTGGCCACCGATGATAGGGTGGGTCAGGCAGGAGACAGCAGTGTCCCACAAACAGTCTTTGATTGAGTGACCACATTTTTTTGAGGGATTATTACCCCCGGAAAAGCGATCTTTGCATGAACTTTATGTGCAAGGAAATAAAATGTTTCCTGTGATATTTATGAGTTGCATTTGAAAACACTGTGTTGTAAAAAGGTGTAGTCAAGTCCAATCTCATTTCAGAGAGAAACATCTTCCAAAGTAACAATAAAAACAGGTGGATGTCGGTTTTTTAATTAAATCTGGACCTGTGACCAGCTACACTTCTAGGACGGCCCAATCTCAAACAGATCTGAGACGAAAAGTTGAAAAACAACAACTTGCAGTTATAAAGTGCATTTTCACATTGAAGATGTCCCAAGGCACTTGAAGGTGAATCAAAGATGGAACAGAAGAGATATTACAAGTTATATAACTGTTGTGGATATATAATAATCCTTGCATTTCATACTTTAACAATAATATCTCAAAACTTTACAAATAGGTTTTGTATAGTGCAGTGACTGTGTATTTGTACGGGAATTTGGAATGTATTTGGAATGTGGAATCCAAACTGCACACAGCAATGTACTACAAACAGCTATGAGTTGAATGCCCAATCTTATTGGAGAATTAATGGCCAGAACACCAAAATAAACACCTTTTCTGTTCAATTGCCCATTGAAGATCCTGTGCTATTCGAAAAGAGCAGGAAGTGCCTCTTAGTGTGCAATTAAAATTGGTCATTCACTTCATGGCTGGCTGATCTTGTATATTGTTGTGCCCAACAATTAGCAGCCTTGCTCACCCACAAAATTCTCTTTACAGTAAAGTAATATGAAATGCTTTGAGTCGTCCTCCCAACATCATACATGCTCTATCAAATGCAGGGATTATTATTGTTATAAAATTACCTATTGCAGCTTTCTAATTCGTAAGCAATGGGGAACAAATTACCTGTGATTCAAAAGGATTTTTGGGGGCATGTTTTATCCATGAGATGCTTTCTGGTATTTTTATGGGGTTTTAACAAAATAACGTAACATTTGGGAGCAAATATGCAGATCAGCACAGCAAAGCTTGATGACAAAATAGCAAAGATTTCCACAGCGACTGTATACTTTCCAGGGGAACTGACGTACGCAGGTATGAAGGCCAACCAAACAGCACCAAAAACAAGCATGCTGAAGGTGATCAATTTAGCCTCATTGAACTGATCTGGCAACTTTCGTGCGAGAAATGCAAGCACAAAACTCATACAGGATAAAAAACCTATATAGCCTAACACACAGCAAAAGGCTGACACTGAGCCCAGATTACATTCCAAAAGAATCTTTTCACTGGAATACTCAACGTTCCTTGCTGCAGAGGGTGGTGACACAAGAAGCCACACAACACAGATGATGACCTGTATAAGTGTACAGCTGAAAACACTGAGTACCTGCTGCAGAGTGCCCAACCATTTCCACACATTACTATTGGGAAGAGTTGCCTTGAAAGCAATCAGCACAACCAGAGTTTTTCCAAGAACACAAGAAATACACAGAACAAAGCTCACCCCAAACAGTGTGTGACGCAGCATGCAAGTCCAGGTGGAGGGCTGGCCCATATAGGTGAGTGAACACAAGAAGCAGAACGTCAAAGAAAAGAGCAGCAGGAAGCTGAGCTTGGAGTTATTGGCTCGGACAATTGGAGTATCTCTGTGATATAATAAAACTGCCGCAACGATGATTGTGCTGAGAGCCCCAAGAGCTGAGCCTGTTGTCAGCATCAAGCCCAGTGGCTCTGCAAAGGACAGAAACTCAAGTTCCTTTGGGATGCATTTGTTTCTCTGTAGGTTTGACCAGGAATCTTCGGGACACGGAATACAGTTCAGCGAATCTAGAAATTAAATATTTTTATTAGCAACATTTTATTATGCAATTTAAATAACCTCACCAACTTGTGGCATGTATTATCGCTGTGATCAGCCAGTGCCTGACACATGTGGAAACCCATTACTATGATTAAGCAGTGTCTGACACACTCAAAAACCCTTAGGATCTTTAATTGTATATTCCATTTGGAGCTTGGACAACAGCTTCTTACCTCTGCATACTATCAAGATGGATATATAAATGTGTGTTCATAAACTCAGACGCCATGTAACGTCTAGTAACATGTAACGCCATGTAGCTGTCAACTGAAGCCTCAGTGCTTCCTCATTTTTGAGGGGTCAGCCAGGTGTGTGATATATGTGGATAACCCATCGCCATGCTTAGGAGTATCCAAAGCAAGAATTCCATGCATCGAATCTACATATGAAAATCCCAGAGATAGATTGTTGGAATGGAATACGCACTCTCTCCCTGAAGGGATGCATCCTGCTTATCTAATTGCAGAAAGTATTAGTCGCAGGTTGTCAAGAACCAATAACCAGCTAAAACCACATAGCTTGCCATTGATCTCAATGTCTAACAAGCTTTCCCGCTGTTTGTCCAGCTGGGATGCCTCACCCATAAAGGCTTTGACTTGCAAGGTTAACAAGAGCTGAGTGGGATGACTCCTTGGAACGGAGTTGGCTTTACAGTGGGCACGTCTATTTGCCTGTGAAGGTCCTCCCTCCACACCCTGAAGACACATAGCTGACAAGGAAATGCTGAGGCTTTGGGCAACAGCTGCTAGACAGCCTTACCTGGAGTCTGAGTTTGTACCCAATCCAGGGCTTGGAATCCAACTTAATTGGTTTTACATAGAGGTCAGCTCCACACCTCCATCCTGCGGAACCCCGCTCAATGGGAAGGATGTGTGTATCCGAGCTGTGGGCAGGAAATTGGTAACACTCATGTAATCTCCTCTGAGGTGGGCAGGTCCAGCGGTCCTGGTTTAGCTCCTATCAGGTACATCCCCAGCCAAAGCACAAAGTACCCATAAGTCATTAAAATCATCAATGAGACAGAAATAAAATAAAATAAAAACAAATCCATTTATCCAGAACTGGGTTTCTTGTGAGCTGAGGTTCAGAGCATTCAAGTTGAGAGAGTAGCACCAGTTTGGCTCAGTGGCTAAGCTATTTCTCCTCTGGGTCAGAAAGAGGTTTCAACTCTCATGGTGGGATTTCAGATGAAAGTCTAACCATATTGTGGATACTTCATTGTTTCAAACATTAAACTGAGATGAACGTTAAAGATCCCATGCCATGACCCTCAAGATTTAAATGACTCACTTGTCCTGTTGCTAATTTCACCATCTGGGCAGAGCAGACAATCATAACAGCAAACTGGCTCCCCATTTCGAGCTGCTTGTCTACTCCCGGGAGCGCAAGGCTCAGTACATGCGGACTGTGGCACCTGCAGTACACACACATGCACACACACACACGTGTCAGCACAAAACACGTCACATGGACACAAATAACCATTAATAATACATGAGTTTGAATAATTGACCCCTTTAGAGTGCGCCTGGGATAACCTCCTTGCCTGATTATGTTAATAATCGCTACATGTGGTATAAGCTCATTTCACATCGGGATTTTTCACATCCACATAAACAGGTACAAATGAGACTTTGGCTGCATGTCTCATCTGAAGGTCAGCACCTCTGATAATGTAGTGTTCCCTCAGCGCTACACTGGACTTTATTTGGCACAATATTGAAATGTCAGTCTCGACTGTGAACTCAAAATTCCATTGTGGACCTTAAATCCACAAACTTCTGCCCCAAGAGATGAGAGTAAATAAACAATCACATTTGTCTTGTTTTATTATGTTTGTAAATTGGATTTCGTAATTTCGTTCGGTAATTTGTTACACTGCACACCAGCTACACTGGTTAAGACAACAAAAACTTGCACTTATATCACGCCTGTCAAGTCAGATGAACGTCTCAAAGCACTGCACAAAGATGACGGGGTTAATTGGAAGACAGGCAATTTAAGGGTATTAATTAAAGATACAATCAAACATGTGGAGGTGGTTACATAATTGGGAGAGATGATGTGATGATGATGACAATTTATTGGCAATAATTATCAATGTCGCACTTCACAATTTCTCTAAATGTTATGTAAAATGTCATCAAAAATGGATAGGTTGCTCGAATAGGTTGTGATTACCTGCTTTTGATTATTGTGCCAAATGATAGCTTCCTGGTTTATCAGAAGATCCTGCCCCAATCCTCCATCTGCATCAAACCTGCCAACCTGGACATATCGAATGGAACCATCTGATTGTCTCTGCCAATTAATAATATCATACAATGCAGCAGGATTCCCATTGCTGTCGAAGGTCATGTCTCCTGCCGAAGTACTGTTGTATCTCAACCTGTGCAGGTAATGAAGAAGCTGCGGAAACAGTTTTAAATTTGTTTGGCTGTCTGACACGTATGTTAACCCATTACCGTGCTTTAGAGCAATTCTAATCCAACACTAATTGGCACACGTGTATGCCACCTGTACATTGACAATTCCCTGTGATTTCTGTGCCTTTCACATTAGGATGACATCTCAAAGTGCTTCACAGGATTTACTGTGAAGTATCGTGACTGTGTGTTTTATGGTTCAGGGTAGCCAGTAGCTTATGTGGGGAGAAGGAGGAGAGGAAATCCGACAACTCAGGGTCACTCTTGCTTCTGAGTCAGAAGTTATAGGTTCAACCCCACATTGGAACTTAAACTCACATCATCTAAATTGACACTCCAATGGATTCCTGGAGGTGGGCGGGGGTTGCATTGTGAGAGGTGCAGTCCTTTGGAAAGATGTTAAAACAAAGATCTCGACTGCCTGATCAGGTGGACATTAAAGATCCCATGACACTGTTCAGAAAGAGAATGGAGTTTATTTGGTTGTCCTGGCCGACAAGCCCCCAGATAAAGTTGGTCAATCATTTCATGGCTATTTGCGGGACCTTACTGTGTGGAAACTGTCTGCTGGGTTTGCCCACAAATATAGTCACTGCACTTCACAGTATACTCTATGAAATGCATTCCCAAAGTGAAAGGAGAAATAGAACAGGAGTTCTATTTTGTCAACTTTCAACTGAAGGAAATTAGACCTCATCCAGTCCTTAATGTCTGGCAGGCAACTGGTCAGAATAGCAATGGTCTTGGAATGAAGGGTGGAGGAAGAGAAATAGAGTTGGGTGTCACCTGTGGAAGTGAGCCCTACACCTGTGGATAATGTCATTGAGTGACAGGTAGATGGCGTAAAGGCGAGGGCCAAAGATAGAGCCCTGAGGAATGCTGCACGTGACTGTTGGTGATAGGAGGAGAAACCATTAGCAGAGATGAAAGTAAGAGTGAAACCAGGATAAGACAGAACAGTGAAGGTGAAATAGAGAGGAAAGATGGCAGAGAAGATATAGTTCATCGTGTTCAAGTATTAGTAAGGTGCAGAAGATCAAAAAGGTAAAGAGCCCTAGTCACAGAATTAAAGAATGTTGTTGTCTCAGTGCAGTGGGTGGAATGGAAACCAGATTATAGGTCATGAAGCAGTCAAGGACCGAGTGGGAAGAATTCCTGACCCAAGGCAGTTCTGCAGTACTCCAGACACAAGGAAATTTCCATGTGTAGGTAGCATACATATGTGGAATTCTAAGTTTGGTTTGGATATTCTTAAGCATAGTGATAGACTTCTACAGGTGTTAGAGCAAACAAAAACACAAGTATCCCATGTGTCCCTACCTGCCAAGCACTGAAGTTAGAAATCTTGGCACAGCTATTGTCTGGTAATATTTCACCACTACTGACACAAGATTTCAAATTGTGAAGCGAGTGAGCAATTGCATAGACTGCTTTGTAAACGTTGTAAGAAACTCTCAATTCAGAGACGTCCAAATAGATACTGTCAGTCTTACTGAGGTCCTCGGAGCCTGTGCACGGCTGGTATCTAAGTACCGATGCATTGTGCTTTTCAATACCAGCTTGCTTGCTCAGCCAACATTTGAACATTGTTTCCCACAATTCTTTCACCAGTCCATTCTCAGGAGATTTAAAAGGATCCACTTGGAGCAGAAAGTCTCTCAGCCCTGGAATTTCTGCTCTGGGAATGGCAAACCCTATTGTCCCATCCAAGACTGGAAGATGTTCTACTGTTGCCATGAGAGATGAGGTGACCCAAGCCTCGCTGGCGATCCATTGGTGCCCAGTGATGTTTTGCTGGACAACTTCTTTAATCAGAGGATATGCATCTCCCTCAAGGGCAAACATGACAATGACTCTTGCCGTAGATCTTTTGATTGTCTCTGTTATTTGAAGGATTCTTTCTCTGGAATATACCTTCGGAATGAGCTCAGTGAAGGCAATGCACACTCCCAATTTTTTAACTTCATCAGTGAACGCTTGAGTTCCGTACCGACCATAGTCATCATCACCTGCAACTGAGCCAACCCAGGTCCAGCCAAACCTCTGCACCAGGCGCACTACTGCTCTGGCCTGAAAGGTGTCACTTGGTATTGTTCGAAAAAAGGCTGGGAACTCTTCTCTGTTACTGAGACAGGAACAAGATGCAAAGTAACTGACCTGCGAAAGTCAGAAACAGCATTAATTTGTCAAAGTAGCTCACGTATTTTAGAAAAAGAGCCGCAATTCAGCCTGTCTACTCTCACTCTCTGGAATGCCCTCTGAGTCCCTTTGCTTCACCCCTTCTCTGGCCTCTTTCAAGGTCTATTTCAAGACCTTCCACTTCTGACCGTGCCTTTGGTCATCTTGGAAGTCTTTGTTCTCTTAAGTAAAGCACAGCATCAGTTTATCGTCAAAGGCAATATTTGATGAAAACAACCGCCACAACAATTGTGGAACATGAGACTTTTAAAGTGATCGGAACGTGATGATTGATTGAAAAAGGGGTGGTGGGGAGTGAACACAAGATCAGGAAAATATTTTTAAGGGGTGATAAGTATTGGTCACAACTAGTCTGAAATTGAAACAGCCTCTAGAGGAAAGACAACTGTTTCATGGATTGGTAAATATGTCTTTCTGTATGTGCACATCAATAAAACAGGTTATTGATGGAGAACCTGTCTCTGGTTGTCTCTGTGTTCGAAATCTGAAAATTAATATTTTATTTTATTTAAAGTAAATATGATACAAGATTGATCCATTGCAATCAACAAAATGATTTATATAAGTTTATCATTAACTATGCTAAGGATTATATTTATTATTATTTGCCAACTCTCTGCCCACTAATAATAATAATGTTTGTTACATCCATCCAGATGAACTAGATCTTGATTCAGCAAAAATAGAGATAGAAAGAGCGATACTTCATCTGACTCAAACTTCGACTCAACAAAAATTATATTCCTCCTTCTCGAAAGTCAGGAAAATATTATAAGAAATCTCTACTGAAGAGATGACTGGTAACTTCCAGAAATCACCATGAATAAGATAGAAAAATGAACATTTAGAGAGGTAATGCAATGCTACTTCATAACAGCCATACAACATCCATACGAAGGAATTCTAAAGAAAGTGTTTGAAATATGGAGAAAAAGAAATCCTAAAACAAGACCGACAATGATAGTAAAAAAACTAGCTACAACTGGAAGATACATTGTAAGTGACAAAAAAAAACCCTGAAGAAGTAAGAAATTGAAACTGGCTGTCACGTTTCGTTCGCAAAATATTGTCAATTCACTTTATGGTATATTCTGTGAAGTTCTTTGAGAAGTTTTGAAAACGTGATCAGGCGCTATATCAAATGCAAGGATTATTATTATAAACAAAAATGAAACAACTGAAGGAAAACAAGAATTGAAAAAGAGATTAATGATTACAGAAGTGATCACTCCATCCTGACCGAAATACACAATTTAAATAATCAATTTCAAAAATGATAAACCTTCGCCGGAAATACTGCATGATAAATGATGAAAAGCTCCGCTAAAAATCAAGCAAAATCCCAGAGAATAAGATGACAAAACAAACCATATTACCAGAATAAAATTAAGAAATGTAAAGTTTTTATAGGGATATTGGAAAAAAGCTCAACCAAGTGAAAGTACCACCTGCGTTCGAGGAAATAGAAGAGTTTTGGAAGAATATACGGAAAAAAGACTGACAATTATCACAAACAGACTGAACGCATTAAAAGACAAACTAGGAAAAAAATGAACATCTTGATAATAACCATGGATAGATATCTCAGAAAAAAGTAGTTACAGAATAAATTATAAAATCACAAAACTGGAAATCACCTGGAATTGACCAACTGCAGAAATTTTGATTGAAGAATGTTGAATTTTGAAACAATTGCAAGAGAATTCTCAAAAATTATCAGACAAACTGAAACAGAGCTCAAATGGCTAATGTCTGGTTTAACTATGCTAAGAGCAAAGAATGAACAGACAAATATCCGAAAAACTATCATTACGACACTATAAAATACTGACATCTCCCAAGATATTCCTGTCAAAAAGTGCCACCCTATGATTCCTCTTACCATGGGAATTTGGAACGGTGCAAGGGTCCTGAGTATAATCATGGACTGGGTGGATCCTGAGTCTCCTATAATTATAGGCACAGAAGAGTTTTCCGCACAGCTCTCACCGGCAAATGTTTCCTCCTCTCCACTTGCTGAGGTGATGGCAGATCTCAGTGCCTGGCTGTGTGTTCCACAAGTGTCAAAGATTGAAAGCCAAGTTTCACCCCAGGAAGAAGCTCTCCATCTCTGTTGATTTCATCGATCGCAAAAACCATTGTTTGCAGCCAACGGAATGCCCTGAAATCAAACCTGAAAATGTGGATGGGTTTAATTCCCTCGAAAAATTAACTAACCTGCAGCAATCACAAATGTGTTTATATTACATAAATCGTTATTTATATTCTTACTCCAAGAAATTAGTATGGTCCTAAGACTACATCGTTGCTCAATGCACAACATTTTCTCTGGCAAGTCTCCTGCTGCTTATCCAGCTAGCATGGCCATACTTCTTGGGACTTTGTCTTACAGGAGCTGAGTGGGAGGATTCCCTGCCCCCAGTGACTGGTCTGTCCCTCCAAGTCCTGCCAATGAGCCAGACTGCCTGTGCCATCATCAGCAGTGCCCCGAAGTACTGCTAACTCGCCTGGCTCAGGAACCAGACTATTAAGACTGCCTCATAGGATTGACTCAATTCTGACATTCTGTTACCAAGCGGTTATTTTTGAGGAAGTCATAATTGTCTACATGAACTTTCAGGAAGCAGTTGATAAGGATTTTCAAAGCAGATATAGGTTTAAATTAAGGTTCACGGAATTATGATAATAATCCTCGCATTTGATATAATTATTACTTTTTTTATTATTACTTCCTGGTGTGACAAGTAGACTGCCTGAGTCACAGAAGCTTTGAGTACAAACAAGTGAACATGGAATCAGGCAATTTGTCTGTACAGAAACTTACCAAGAAAATACACTGAATAGAGGACCAGTTTTATACTCTGATTAATAACACAAGGCAGAAGTCATTGAATCCCAATGACACATTAGAACATACTGGCACTATGTATATATAGAACAATAAACATTTACAGTACAGAGTATTTGATCTATCTTCTGTACTGCATAGAGTAATCCATTCAGTTCCTGCTTTATTCCCCACCCCAGTAAAAATTATTCCGTTATCCCAGCAGATTATATGAAATGCAAGAATTATTATGTTTTTGAAAAAACTAATTGGATGTAAACTGATCTTACGAAAGGTGACATTATGTATAATAATCTTATATGCAATGAAGAGAGGGTGAAAGGATTGACTCTGCCATGGCCAAGAATCCCACAAATAAAATCAGTCATTCACTTCATCTCTATTAGTGGGTCATTGCTATGTGCAAATCAGCTGGCACATTCATCTACAAAATACACAGTCACTACACATTATTGTATATTCTGTGAGGCATTTTGAGACATCCTCCTGATGTGAATAACCCTTGATCCATGACTACAATTCTGATGGACTTCAAGTCCTGGATGAGAACTAACTTTTTCCAGTTGAATGTTGACGAGGCAGAGACTCTCCTGCTTGGCTCCTGTCAGCACCTTCTCATCTTCAGGCGCTGACAGTATCCATCAACATTAGATGCACTCTCCACTTCATGGAGCCACTGCAGAATCTCAAGGTCTTGTTCAACTCTGAATTGTCCTTTAAACTGCACATTCCTGCCCGAACTCATTCAGCTTTCCCCCACCTCTGCCATTACCTCTCCCCTTGGGCCGCCGAGACCCTAATCAATACTTTTAACACATCCAGGCTTGACTACAGCAACTCTCTGCTCGCCAAACTATCCAACTCTTTCCTCCACAAGCGGCAGATCCAGAACTCAGCAGCTTATGTACTCTCCCACACTAGACTCCACAAACCTATCACCTCCATCCTCACCTGGCTCCATTGGCTCCCCATCTCCTAGAGTAAGACCATAAGACCACAAGATGTCATAGCAGGAGGAGGCCACCCTGACATTTAATAAAATCATGGCTGATCTTCTAACCTAATTCCATTTATCCACCCTACAGGTATCCCTTAATCCTTCTATCCTTTAGAAATCCATCAATCTCAGTCTTGAATATGTTCAAAGATTGAGCATTCACAGCCCTCTGTGGAGAGAATTCCATAAATTCACTGCCTTCTGAGTGAAGAAATGTTTCCTCAACTTAGTTTGAAAAGGCTGGCCCTTAATCTTAAGATTATGATCCCTAGTTTTAGATTTTCCAACCAGAGGAAACAGTCTCACGGCATCTACCCTGTCAAGACCTTCCCAGAGTGTTAAGTTGAAGATGCTTGTCCTCACTTTTAAATCCCTCCATGGTCTTGCTTCAACCTACCTCTGTGACCAACCGACCTGCTCTCTCTGCTTGGCAACCACTGACCTACTTTATATCACCCACCCTGCCCATCCCATCATCGGTGGTCAGTATTTCAGGCTTTCCGCCCTACACTGTCTGGAACTCCATCTCGGATTCCCTTTGCCTTGTATCTTTCCTCATCTCCTTCAAGGTCTGCCTCAAGACCTTACTCTTTGACTGCACCTTTGCTCGTGTTTCCAACCCACCCTTGACCCCTACCCTTCCCAAATAACCCCCAGCTCGGGTAGAAACCCTTGACTGTCCAGAACCTTTGGACATCCTCACGATGTGAAAGACACTATATAAATCCGATTTGTTGTTGTTATGAACTGGCTATACCAAAGGTAAGGATTATTATTATCTTTCACATCGTGCTCCTATATGCAGTGATCTTTTACAGTGATCTTGATTTCTGTGAGTGCATAAATAAAAAATAGAGAATTAATCAACCTCACAGATGTACACTTGATATGTACCTAACATGTACCAGGAGACATTCTCAGCACCTGAGTGATAACTTAGCAGCAGACTTGTTTGCGTTTATTGCCAGTAGGTGAGAGTAAAGAACATGTTACTCTGCAGGAATAATGCTGTGGAAAATAGTAATCTCAAGATTGGTTTGGATAAGGAAGGTCCTTCAGCCCGTCTGAACTCATTCCTACAGAAGACCTACTCTACCAACCCCGATCACAGCACGATCAACTTCAAAAAGGCCAGAAAACATAAATTAGCAGTAAATTTTCACTAAATTTACCAGCCATATTTTGCATGAAATTTTTTTTCAAACACAAAAAACAGACCAACCAGGAAAATAGACTTTTTTTTGTACTCAATGGTCCTTGGGTATTGAATAAGGCATCATTTGGTATGGGTGCTGAGCACACTTACCCTTCACAGTGAGGAGCTTCTGGCTTTAGGCTGAAGGATAGGTCTGGCTCAATAACTCTGTAATGAACTGGAAACAAACCAGTCAGGATCACATCTCCGTCTTGAAACATCACTGAGAGTTTGAACTGTGCTCGCCGTGTACAGTGTGGCTGGACTGTCACAAGGACAGAGAGCAGCAGAGATACAAAGCTTGAGAACAAAGACATCACAGCTTGTCATGCTCTGGAATGAGACTGGGCTTGCCTCTGTTTGTTTTATATGTAGAGAAGCTAGAGGAGATTTAAAAGGAAATTGAATAATTCCCTAAAATGTCCCTCCTCCTCAAGTGAACAAATCTCAACTTGTTTCACCTTTGAGACCATGTATTATGGAAAGAAAACACAATGAGAGGATTAGTCTATTCCCGTCCATGTCTTTGTGCTTGTCACATCAAACTACAAAACTACAACTCTCTTCTCATAAAGCAATTATGGAATTAAGGGCAGAGTGTAGCCAATTGTTACTAATGAAACTGAATGTGAGTGTGCTGTCTGGGAAATCATTTCTTTCACAGCTTCACTTCACTTTTAACCTTTGTTTGTACAGTCATTCTGTACAACTGTACAAGTACAGTTGTCCAGCACCTAGGGATGTCCGCCCAATGTGAAGGGCACTATAGAAATGTAATTTTGTAATGTATTTGTTTGGACTTGGACTTGTGTGAAGTGACCAGAAATAGTCACTTAAATACGCATATGAAACCCAAAGCTACTAAAATTATCAAATTAAAATTATTCAGTAGAGAGTGGGTATTTCCATAGGGATAGAGAGAGAGAGAGAAAATTACCTGTGATTATCTTTTGCAAAGTTACAAAATTACAAAATTACCTTTTGCAGGCTGATAACAATGTTTTGCATGACAACAATGTCCCAAAAACAGCCATGACGGCCAGGATACTGGGAGAAACTAAGGCAAAATACTCCAGATGCTGGAAATCTGAAATAAAGTCACTGGGAACATTCAGCAGGTCAGGAGGGTATGTATGGAGAGAGGAAATTGAGTTAACGTTTCAGGCGATGATGTTTCGTCAGAACTACTCAGAGGCCATGCTTTCAGCCAATCCACCTTGAAACTGGAACTCTCATCGCAAACCCTCTCTGCCTTGCCTCCTCCTTGCCCATCTTTTGATCTCACCTGAAGACCTTCCCCTTCAACTGTCACCTCCCCCTCTTGTTGACTCAACATCAAGCTCCCCCACTGTTGAGCACTCTGAAAGGTTAACCCCCACCTGGATGGCGCTATATAAATGCAAGTTGCTGTTGTTGTTTGCATCAGTATCAGACATCTACCCAAAACCCCCAAAATTGTCTGATTTTTAAAAAATTATATATTTCCATTTCTTTTTGACCATGCTTTCGGTCATCTTTTCCCCTTCGCATCCCAGCTCAGCTGGAAAGTGTTGAGCGCTTTGAGATGTCCTTCCAATGTGAAAAAGGTGTTGTGTAAATGTGACCCGCAGACATTTCTCAAAGAGGCAATCTAGCCCTCAGTAGCCAAAAGATTGAACCACACTGCTTTAACCTGGTGTATGGCTCCTTTTTCCATTGCTCTGAGTTCACAAAACGGTGCTTCAAAACATTATCCTATGTGAAAGGCGCTATATAAATGCATGCTATTGTGGTATGTATGTAACTACAAGCCATTTTAGCATTCTCAATTTTTATTAAAGTAATATTTCAATAATGTCAAGAGTATTAATGCACCATCAACTCCATTTTACACAGAATAATCAAAACTACTCAACGGTAATATATAATACTAATAACAATACTTGCATTTGATATAGTGCCTTATCAAGTCTTCTGGACATCTCAAAGCGCTTCACAGAATATACTGTAAAGTGAATTGACTCTATATTTGTGGGTGAAACGCGGCAGCCAATTGTGACAGCAACAACAAAATACAACAAAATTACATTTATAGAGCGCCTTTCACTTCGGGAAGATGTCCCAAAGTGCTGAACAGTCAGATGTTGGGGCCCGAGCATGGAGGGGAAGTGGTTTAGGGGTGATGGAAGGCAGAGAGGTGGGAGGGCGACCAAAGGCACAATCAAAGAGAAGGGTCTTGAGACCAGCCTTGAAGGAGGCAACGGAGGAAGCGAGGCGAAGGGACCGTAGGATGGAGTTCCAGAGTGTGGGAGTAGAGAGGCTGAAAGCCTGGCCACCGATGATAGGGTGGGTCAGGCAGGAGACAGCAGTGTCCCACAAACAGTCTTTGATTGAGTGACCACATTTGTTTTGAGGGATTATTACCCCCGGAAAAGCGATCTTTGCATGAACTTTATGTGCAAGGAAATAAAATGTTTCCTGTGATATTTATGAGTTGCATTTGAAAACACTGTGTTGTAAAAAGGTGTAGTCAAGTCCAATCTCATTTCAGAGAGAAACATCTTCCAAAGTAACAATAAAAACAGGTGGATGTCGGTTTTTTAATTAAATCTGGACCTGTGACCAGCTACACTTCTAGGACGGCCCAATCTCAAACAGATCTGAGACGAAAAGTTGAAAAACAACAACTTGCAGTTATAAAGTGCATTTTCACATTGAAGATGTCCCAAGGCACTTGAAGGTGAATCAAAGATGGAACAGAAGAGATATTACAAGTTATATAACTGTTGTGGATATATAATAATCCTTGCATTTCATACTTTAACAATAATATCTCAAAACTTTACAAATAGGTTTTGTATAGTGCAGTGACTGTGTATTTGTACGGGAATTTGGAATGTATTTGGAATGTGGAATCCAAACTGCACACAGCAATGTACTACAAACAGCTATGAGTTGAATGCCCAATCTTATTGGAGAATTAATGGCCAGAACACCAAAATAAACACCTTTTCTGTTCAATTGCCCATTGAAGATCCTGTGCTATTCGAAAAGAGCAGGAAGTGCCTCTTAGTGTGCAATTAAAATTGGTCATTCACTTCATGGCTGGCTGATCTTGTATATTGTTGTGCCCAACAATTAGCAGCCTTGCTCACCCACAAAATTCTCTTTACAGTAAAGTAATATGAAATGCTTTGAGTCGTCCTCCCAACATCATACATGCTCTATCAAATGCAGGGATTATTATTGTTATAAAATTACCTATTGCAGCTTTCTAATTCGTAAGCAATGGGGAACAAATTACCCGTGATTCAAAAGGATTTTTGGGGGCATGTTTTACCCATGAGATGCTTTCTGGTATTTTTATGGGGTTTTAACAAAATAACGTAACATTTGGGAGCAAATATGCAGATCAGCACAGCAAAGCTTGATGACAAAATAGCAAAGATTTCCACAGCGACTGTATACTTTCCAGGGGAACTGACGTACGCAGGTATGAAGGCCAACCAAACAGCACCAAAAACAAGCATGCTGAAGGTGATCAATTTAGCCTCATTGAACTGATCTGGCAACTTTCGTGCGAGAAATGCAAGCACAAAACTCATACAGGATAAAAAACCTATATAGCCTAACACACAGCAAAAGGCTGACACTGAGCCCAGATTACATTCCAAAAGAATCTTTTCACTGGAATACTCAACGTTCCTTGCTGCAGAGGGTGGTGACACAAGAAGCCACACAACACAGATGATGACCTGTATAAGTGTACAGCTGAAAACACTGAGTACCTGCTGCAGAGTGCCCAACCATTTCCACACATTACTATTGGGAAGAGTTGCCTTGAAAGCAATCAGCACAACCAGAGTTTTTCCAAGAACACAAGAAATACACAGAACAAAGCTCACCCCAAACAATGTGTGACGCAGCATGCAAGTCCAGGTGGAGGGCTGGCCCATATAGGTGAGTGAACACAAGAAGCAGAATGTCAAAGAAAAGAGCAGCAGGAAGCTGAGCTTGGAGTTATTGGCTCGGACAATTGGAGTATCTCTGTGATATAATAAAACTGCCGCAACGATGATTGTGCTGAGAGCCCCAAGAGCTGAGCCTGTTGTCAGCATCAAGCCCAGTGGCTCTGCAAAGGACAGAAACTCAAGTTCCTTTGGGATGCATTTGTTTCTCTGTAGGTTTGACCAGGAATCCTCGGGACACGGAATACAGTTTATGGAATCTGAAATCATTGCAAAAAAGTAGATTTATCCAGGGAGCAACAGTTCGAGATATTATTTCACTGCAACCACGTCCGCTCTTCAGATTTCTCCCTCTTCCTCGATAAAAGTAGGGTGAAAACCCATCAATTACACAATCTATTCTTTAAGAACCCATTTTTTTTCCAAATTCAGCATGATATCAGATTTAAGACAGTGAGTAAGTGGTGTGCACAGTGCGTATGTGTGCATGTACAGTGTGTAACATAATAATAATCAGAGATAGTGGTGTATATAATGTTAAATGGGATTTAAAAAGTAAACCCAAAACAATAATTTAGGCTGCAATTAAACAGTAGAACAAGACACAATGGTTTTGTGTTGCAAAGGGCAATTTAAGTTCAAACATGGGAAAGTTTTTCTTTACACAGAGGGTAATCAACAACTAGAACAGATTGCCAGAATAGGTAGTAGAGGCCAGGACAAAGCAGCTTGAATCTGTGATGGGATGGGTGTTGGGATGCGATCAGATGAGCCAAAGGACCTTCTTCATTAAAATCAAACTTGTGATCTTATGAGGTCAGTGAAGCCCAAGTCTCCCTCCCTGCAACCACATCCACTTTTTACTATAAATCCATCACACTATTTGATTCTGGATCTCAAACATGAGTCAGAGGAAGCCTCTCTACTGCATTTTGCTGTCAAGCTTTCCTTGCTTGTGCTGCAAGGACCATCCTACTTTTTAGGGCTTTGATTTGCAGGGTTAGCAGGAGTTGACTAGTTGACCACATATTTATTTCACGTTTCTCTGATTCTGGCATTTTGAGAGTGAAAAATATGTAGCAGAATTCACAGAAATATTACAAATTCTAGATTCATACAAGAAGAAAGCTCAGCATACCGACAGCGCTGGTCACCTGGCCCTCGGCACATGGCACACAGTCAAAGCAGCATGTTTCTCTTCCCTCTTGAGCTGCTTTCCTTGTACCAGGGCGGCAGCTCACACTACACATCGATTGGGGAACCTGCAATAAAAAGAGCAGATACAAACCAGTGTTACATAGTCTGTCATAGGCTGTGTATATCTCAATAACATTGATATTGAATAAGAGTTGGGCTTCAGGCTCTCTGCCTCTACCCTTTAGAACTCCATCCCGCATTCCCTTCATCTCGCTCCCTCACTTGCCTCCTTCAAGGCACGTTTCAAGATGCTCCTCTTGGACCGCACTTTTGGCCACTCCTACCCTCCCTGATCCCAAACCCCTGTTCGGGTCCAAATCCCTGACTGTCCAGCACCTTGGGCCATCTTCCCGACTTGAAAAGCACTACACAAATCTAATTTTGTATTGTATGTCTCAATAGTAATGTGCATATCTCAATAAGACTGTATATATCTCAATAGCACTGTGTATATCAATAAAACTGCAATTTTCTATGGGTTGGGGCCGGGCAGGGGACATCCTTTTCCATGGCTCCAGAGATACCATGTGAGAATCCTGTCTGTGGTTGCCTGTCTGTGAGAGAGGTGAGAGGAGAGTGTGGGTGAGAGGTGAGCAGTCAACTAGAGCTGAAGTATCATCTTCTCTGCCTGTAACAGTTACCTTTTCATTCATGGTTCTGTATCAAAGACAGACACTGTAAAATCTACCATCTCTGTGATTATCTGCGGACTTTGTTGATCAAACATCTTGTAGAAAACCAGCGACCAATTTAGTCTCCATGATTACAATCGTCTCGGAATTTTGACCTGAACCATGACTTCTCTAAGTTAATATCATTCGTGCAGGTGCCTGAGTTGAACAAGACAGTCAGGTAGAACTCATTCACACCAAGTTTGTGACAGAGTTTGTGACAGTCTCTTTGTTTTGGATTCCTCCATCAGAAGGAAGAACCATCACTAATTATTTTATATCCTTTAACCTACTATGAGATTCAGCCAATCTCTGATGATAACTAATAATCTTGTGAATTGATTTGCAATATTTCTCTTATTTCTGAGGTATATGTCTGTCTTTATAATTACAGATCCTTTCTTTCAAATCCATTTTTCTTGCCTTTGCTCAATGATTTTAAATTTTTCAGCCACTGAAATGGTTGTGACAATATTCGCCTAGACATTTTCTATGACTGCAGTGCTTACCTCAGCCTTACCACCATTCCAGACAATGGCCGTCTCATTTACCACCAGATCCTGTCCTGAATTTGGAGCACCATTGAAATGTCCCACTGGCACAAAGCTGACCTGACCAGCATCTTCTTGCTGCCAGTTCACGAGATCATAAGTTGCAACAGGATCACCATTTTCATCGAAGTAGATTTCTTCTCCTAACTTACTGGTGAACCGCACTTCTCTCAGGTAATGCATGAGCTAAGCAAAGAGGCAGGAAAGTCCGACAGTAATTATGTTATTGACAATTATTGCAGACATAAACCTTCCTTTCTACTTTACCTTAAGATTTTTTCTGTGAAATCCCCTCAGCACCCCCATTTTTTCTCCCTAACCCTAACCCTCCCTCCATAGGGATCAAAATTGATCACTTTTCCATTGGCCTTTGTGTTCCTTACCCTGGTTCATCCTTTTGTGAAACCCAGTGCCTTATCTTTCTCACAACTGGCGACATAAACCAAAAAATATAGGGCCCCTATAAGGATCATTTGGCCCATTTGTTATTTGTCTGTGCTGTTGTTTGAACGATCAATCCATTTGAACACTTTACTTGAGATCCCGCGCCCCCCGCTCTCATGCCTTTCATGTTGAGCTGTGTTGCCAACCAGGAAGCTCACAATGAATAATAATAATAATAATCCTTGCATTTGATATAGTGCTTTTCACGTCGGGAGGACGTCTCAAAGCGCTTCACAGAACACACCGAAAAGTGAATTGACTGTATATTTGTGGGCGAACGCGGCAGCCAATTGCGCACAGCAATGTCCCACAAGCAGTCGTAGATTGAAAATGACCAATTTATTATTGTTTTTGGTTTTGGAGGGAATAGGAATAGCTGGAACCTGCCAACCATCTACTGAGGGATCGAACCAGCGCTTGTCGGATGAGGTAACTGAACTGGCTCCAAGGTGACATGTTCGGCAATGGAATGTCGGAATCAAGTCTGCCCTCTGTGGTAGTCTCGGGTCCAAGTTCCTGAGTCAGATGGGTGACTCCAGGGCACTGCTGATGACAGCATAACCAGCCTGGCTCATTCATTAGTTCTTTGAGAGCAGCCCAGTCACTGGGGGCAGGGAATCCTCCCAATAAGTTTGTGTTAATCCTACAAGCCAAAGAACTAACGGGTGGCGTGATCCTAGCTGGACAAGCAGTGGGAAAGCTTACCAGACAGCGATATCAATGGCAAGCTATGCAGCTTTAGCTCGTTTGATTCCAGTAGTCCTGCACTGAAGAATCATGTCTTGGTTCTTGCCAAACTACACCTAATATCCCTCTGGAATTAGGTAAGTTGGATGTTCTAGGAAGAGAGGGCAAATTCCATTCCAATAAATATCTCAGGAATTTCCATGTGTCAGTGAGATACCTGGAAATCTAGGATTGCCGCATGAGTCAGTCACCCGGCTGACCAGAAGGAAAATGATATAAAGTCTGTAACTGTAAAACACATGAATATAGATAAATCCTCAGCTCTGTGTTACATATTACAAGTTCTGTAACTGTTATACACATGAACACGGGCAGATTCTCACCTCTGAGTTACAGCATTGCATCTTATTTCCCTTTTCCATTGTCTACAATTTAATAGCAAATATATCACTCAAAAATCCATTACCTGCCAAGGTTTAAAGTCAATGATGTTCGCACAAGTTTTATTGTCAAATGGATCGTTATTATTTGCACAAGAATATAAATTGTGAAGGGCATGAGCAAATGCGTAGACTGCTTTATATACATTATAGGAAATTCTCAACTCTGAGACATCTGAATAGATGGTGTAACTGCTGTTGAGAAATTCAGATCCTGTACACTTCGCCTGTGGTATTAATGATGATTTCCCATCTACAATGTCACTTTTCAAATTAAATGAACATTTGAACATTGTTTCCCACAATTCTTTCACCAGTCCATTCTCAGGAGATTTAAAAGGATCCACTTGGAGCAGAAAGTCTCTCAGCCCTGGAATTTCTGCTCTGGGAATGGCAAACCCTATTGTCCCATCCAAGGCTGGAAGATGTTCTGCTGTTGCCATGAGAGATGAGGTGACCCAAGCCTCGCTGGCGATCCATTGGTGCCCAGTGATGTTTTGCTGGACAACTTCTTTAATCAGAGGATATGCATCTCCCTCAAGGGCAAACATGACAATAACTCTTGCCGTAGATCTTTTGATTGTCTCTGTTATTTGAAGGATTCTTTCTCTGGAATATACCTTCGGAATGAGCTCAGTGAAGGCAATGCACACTCCCAGTTTTTTAACTTCATCAGTGAACGCTTGAGTTCCGTACCGACCATAGTCATCATCACCTGCAACTGAGCCAACCCAGGTCCAGCCAAACCTCTGCACCAGGCGCACTACTGCTCTGGCCTGAAAGGTGTCACTTGGTATTGTTCGAAAAAAGGCTGGGAACTCTTCTCTGTTACTGAGACAGGAACAAGATGAAAAGTAACTGACCTGCGAAAGTCAGAAATGAAAAGTGTCATTTGGTATTGAGAATCTCATGGATAATTGGGACCTAAGAGTAAATACCTAAAGTGGTCATACAGTGTTTACTATACGTGAAAGTGAAAAATGTAGTAAGTACAACAGGATTCATCTTGTGGTTTCTCAGGTTCTGCATTTCCACTGTTCAATGACAATTAAGAAATGTTTACAGATCCACAGCCAGGACACCTGACTCTCAGACTTTGGTTTCACAATTGCTATCTAGTTGAAGTAGAGTTACATACTATCACACTTCTCTGTGGATCTTCGTCCAAGTCTACAGCAAAGAGACAACAGTCTTGAATGGTTAGAAAGAAGCACATCGATTTTGGCCAGTGAAACATGTTTTTCTGAAGCATACGATTTTATTCACCATGAACTTCATGTTAATTTCTTTCACTGATGAGTCAAATATTGATTTACTAGCACAAGTGAAGCTTCCATGACATCGGGAGTTACATTTGCGCTTTGAGATGTCTCAAGGACGTGATATCTATCAAATAAAAGGATTATTATTATTTTAGCTGTTCTCTGAAGCATTTACAACGGTTGGTCTGACATTTCTTCTGACCGCAGTTACACTTCGTACAGCCTTATCCACCACAAACAACTTGTGCAAACAGATGATGAATAAAATATTGCAGTTATTTCATGGTTTCACAAATTTCACAAAATGCCTAGTTTCACAACTTTACTGTAACATATCAAGTGTGATATTCTGTAAATATCAGACACCCAGTGACCAAAGACCAAATGAAGGCAAGGAATAGCACGGAGATAAAGATAGCACTCAGGGGAAGAAACACCTTTAAAAAAGGTCATATATAAATGTAGAAAAATATTTATTTGTTTATGTTTGTCATGTTTCAGGAATGCAGAGATGTTGAAAGGAATACATATAATAAACTCATTCTATAAGCCTGTTGCATTCAATCTTGTGGCCCAAATTCTTCTCAAAGTAAGAACATACCATTGGAATGTGGAGAGGTCCCAGTGTTTTTGCCACAACGATCGACTGTGTTGATCCTGAATCACCGACAATGACAGAATTGGAGGAAGTCTCCATACAGTTACCATCAGAAGCATCTTCCTTGTGTCTTGCTAATGTGAGCGCTGCTCTCAGTGACTGAGCTGGAGTGGTACAGGTGTCGTATATCTCATAGCCCAATGTTATGTTTGGCAGGAGCATAAGGTCACTGTTTATTTCATGTAATGCAAAGATCATGGTCTGTGCCCAGCGAAATGACCTTAAATTAAACCTGAGAAGTAAATAATGGTCATGAGTTGGAGAGTCTTTTGCAATTCCTATTATAATAATACTCCTTGCATTTGATATAGCACTTTACCATATCTTCAAGATATCTCAAAGTGCTTCACAGTACACTGTAAAGCGAATTGACTGTTCAGGGTTAACTAACCAGCAGGTAGAGTAAAATTGCACCTAGGTCTATGTTTATATTAATAATGCTTGCATTTGGTTTAGCGTCAGTCTGTACTCTAACATTCCTTGTCAATAGATTTATTCTATTAAATATATCCTCACCTGCAGTCTATAAAATACAAAATTACATTTGTATAGCTCCCCTCACGTCGAGAGGACCTCCTAAGGCATCTACAGAACAGTCTGGGTTAATCTCCTCAGATACTGTGTACGGTACAATCCGGCTAGCCTCCTCACCTGCAGACTAATAATAATAATAATTCTTGCATTTGATATAACACCTTACGATGTCTTTGAGACATCGTAAGGCGTTATATCAAATGCAAGGATTATTAGCACTTCTATAATAATACTTGCATATGATGCAACATCTTTGGTTGTCCAACAAAACAATATATATATATATAAATCCTTTATTGAATATATCTTAATTTATGGCATAACTATGCTATTTTATTATTTCTATGATTATGTTGCTGGCCAATCAAAATGTTTGGCCACCACTGCCTTTTCAGATGGACGTTAAAGATTTTATGCCATTCTATGCCGTTATTGAAAAAAAGAAGGGAGTTTCTCTCGGTCAACGATCCCCCAGATAAAATTAGTCACTCACTCCATTTGTGAGACATTGTTGTGTGAAACTTGCCTGCTACATTCGCCTGCAAAATTCACAGTGGGTAAATGTTACAATGAAATGTAATTCCAATTATTATAATAATAATTACAGTGAGTAAATGTTACAAAGTGAAGCACTTTGAAATGTCTTCAGACATTATAATGCGCTGTATCAAATGCAATATAACATTATTATTATTATAACGTTTTCAGAGTGTATTTAAATAACCAGAATACGTATACTTCTTTCAAAAGTTTGAATCTAACAATAATCATGCAAACTCAAGATAAACATACAAATACTCACAAGCAATGTATGTTTAGGAAAAGCAGAAAATTAAATGAATTTGAAGTCACAAATTTCAAATTGTGCGGCAACCTTCTGGCTCAGAAGCAAGTCTGCTATCGACTCAAATTCCAGTCTTGATTTGGAAGTTGTTTTTCTGCAGGTCTTAATAAAGATCTGGCTTGCAGATGAAACTGAATTGAAGGATTTTCCATATTTCTGCCCAATCTTAAATATTACGACAAAATAATCTTAATTTCGCTTAGAAAAGGTGACTTTATCGGTGATAATGCCAGTGATTGGTTTGTGTTCTCGACCATTTACTTCATTTACCCTTTTTTTAAAGAAAAGCTTCACTGTAAGTTAATATAATTTCACAGGCATGGTGCAGTAAAGTGAATAATTTGTCCATATCTGACTTACCCATCACAGAGTGGTGATCCTGGGCTTAATCTGTAGGTCAGGTTTGACTTATTCATTCTAAAATGAATTGGAAACAAGCCATTTAAGATGATATCCCCTTTCATAAAGAGCTCAGAAAGATCAAACCTCCCACCATAGCTACATGTTGATCTCTCAGCTCCATCATTCAGAGGTATCAGAAAGAGCAGGAGCGGTAGGCAGGACATGGTTCCCTGTCCCTCCCAATATTATGAGTGGGTTTGCTTGGCTGCCCCTTTATATATGTGCACCAGATCAATGAACTGGATCACACCCAAAAATGAAACAACAAAAAATTGCCCAGCGATGCTCAGCCGCAAAATCTTGATTACACCTACAAACAGAGACAGAGAAGATGCACGGGTAAAAATGTATTCTCCATGGAAAAGAACAAAGGCATTTAGGGTTGTGGTGTTTCAGTTGGAGCATTTTCTCCCACAGAACGCAGTCAAACCATATTACAGTAATATCCTGTGAAGAGTTTTGAGATGTCTCGACGACATAAGGCGCAATATCAAGTGAAAGGATTATTTTCATTATTATCTATAAATGAAGCCTTCTCATTTGGGATGTATGACTATAGCTTTCCCTCCAGTTAATGCCAGTGAAAGGTTTTACACTTTATCGGGTAAATGGCTCCTTGGTGATCCTGAGGGTTTCAGGTGAGTGATAATCAGAGTAAAAGAGAGAATGAAAAAAAACACATCTATCTTGTCTGGAGTAAAGCGTAGTCCCAGGGACTGTGTGAGAAAGAATTCCTGATATAAGCACTGGAATAACGACAAATTGTATATACACAGCACCTTTCACATTGGGAGGACTGGTTAGTGAAGGGTTTGCATCCGAGCTTGGACCTGGAGTCAAGAGGGATGAAGGTGGAAGTGGGAGGATGACTGAAGCCACAATCAAAGAGGAAGGTCTTGAGATGGGCCTTGAAGGAAGCAAAGGAGTAAGTGAGCCAGAGGAGCTTCGGGATAGAGTTACAGAGGGTGAGGGCAGAAAGGATGAAGGCCCAGCCGCCAATGGTGGGGCAGGAAGGGTGGGGGACATGAGAACAATAAAATGGTCAAGACAATGGTGTCAAAGGCAGGAGCAAGATCAAGAAGGACAAGGAGACAGAGAAAGCCCTGGTCACAGATGGACAGAATATCGTTCATAACTTTGACCAAGGTTGTCTCTTCGTTGTGGGCAGCACAGAAACCGGATTGGAGAGGTTTGTTCAGGGAGTGGTGGGAGAGGAAAGAGCGAAGCTGGGAAGCAATATCTCATTTTAGGAGCTTGGAGAGAAAGGGAAGGTGGGAGATGGGACAGTAATTTAAAAACAGAGATGGTCAAGATTGGGAAAATGGGTCGAGGGAATATCAACTACAAGCCCACCAATTCTAACAGCTACCTCAATTACAATTCTCCCCCCACCCCCCCCTCCCCCCCACTTCCTATAAGGATTCTATTCCCTTCTCTCAGTTTCTCCGCCTTCGCCACATCTGCTCTGAGAATGGCACCTTTCACAATTTCTGAAATGCCCTCCTTTTTCCTCAGACGAGGATTCTCCTCCACCATGTGTCCGTCCTATTTCCGGCATTTCTGCCCTCACCCCTTCTCCCTCTCCTAGAAGAGGAAAAGTCGGCAGAGGTGAAGTGAAGTGGAGGTTGAAGTTGTCCAAGATGAGGAGATGTTCAGAACAGAGGCTGAGAAAAGATAGGAGGGAGGAGATAGTGGGGAGGAAAGTGGAGGAAGATTTAGGGAGGTGATAGATGAGGAGGATTTTATGGGAAAGATTTGAAGGAAGGGAAAGATTCAGAGGAGTAGAGAGATAGACCAAGTGAAGACTTGGAAATGAGAACCACACCACCACAGTGATGGTTGGGTTGTGGGGTATGGTGGAAGGTATAACCTGGCTGCGTGGCCTTGGTACCTTCTTTCTATCTATTTTTATCTTATCCATTTTCTCTCCCCCCTCCTCCTTTACTGTGAAATTGGCAGCATTGTCTTTTCTGAAGACAGATGCAAAGTCCTTATTCAGTATCTCATCCATGCCCTCTGGCTCCACAAGTTTTCCTTTTTAGTCCATAATCAGCCCCACCCTTCCTTCATCCTTTAGATTCCTGTAGCTCAGTGGTTAGAGCACTCACTTTGCAAGCGAGAGACCTGAGTTCAATTCCAGGCAGAGGGCGAAACCTTGGGCAAGTTTCCTTACTCCACACACCTAATAATAATCCCTCCAAAACCAAAAACAATAATAAATTGGTCATTTTCAATCTACGACTGTTTGTGGGACATTGCTGTGTGCAATTGGCTGCCGCGTTCGCCCACAAATATACAGTCAATTCACTTTACAGTGTGTTCTGTGAAGCGCTTTGGGACGTCCTCCCGACATGAAAAGCGCTATATCAAATGCAAGGATTATTATTTATCCATCCTTTTACTCTTCATATGTTATAGAAGACTTTAGGTTCCCTTTTATGTTATCCTCTAATCTTTTCTCACACACGCTCTTTGCCCTCTCATTTCCCTTTTTAGTTCTTCTCTGCACTTTCTGGTATTCTGTTTGATTCTCTAATCTAATTTGAACCTGACATGTATCATAAGCCTCTCTTTTCTGTTTCATATTAATCCCAATTTCCTTCATCAGCCAGGGAGCTCTCACTTTAGATGCCCTATTTTTCCCCCTCGTGGGTATGTGTTTGGTCTGTACCCTAACTGTATCCTCCTTGAAGGCATCCCATTGTTTTACCCGTCAATCTTTGTTTCCAATCAAGATCCCTTTTCAACTCACTGAAGTTAGTCTCTTCCAGTTGAGTCTCTTCACCTTTGATTGTTCCTTCACTCTTTTCCATAACTATTCTGAACCTTTTGACATTGTGATCATTGTTACCCAGAAGATCTCCCACTGAAACCCGCTCCACTTTCCCCACTTCATTCCCCAGGACTAGAATCCAGCAATGCTTCCTTCCTTGTTGACCTGGAAACATACTGATCAAGAAGTTCTCCTGTACACATTTTAGGAATTCTTCCCCCTCCATGCCCTTTACACTGTTTTTCCCAGTCTATGTTTGGATAATTCAAGTCACCCATTATCACCACTCTATTGTTTCTGCATCTTTCTGAAATCTGCTTGCAGATTTGCTCCCACTATTTGGTGGTCTGCAGTATATGCCCAGGAACGACGCTTCTTCTGCTCCTTAACTTTAACCAAATAGATTCTGTCTTTGATCCCTCTAGCACAGTATCCCTTTTCAAGGCTGTAACAGTATCTTTGATCAATACTGCCACCCCTCCTCTTTTTCCTTCCCTATCCCTTCTGAATACATTGTAGCCAGGAATGTTAAGCTCCCATTCCTGCCCTTGTTTGAGCCGGGTCTCCATTATTGCCACGATATCATAATCCCAATTGGCAGTTTGCACCGGCGACTCATCAACCTTATTTGTCACACTCCGTGCATTTACGCACATGAATTCCCAAACTGCCTTTGTCTGCTTTGCATTTCTGCCATGTCTAATCTCCTATTTCTGGACCATTATTTATTCCAAAGTTATCTCTCCCAGACCTCGATGTTCCTGGTTTCTCCTCTCTGATGTTGCATCCTGGTTCCCCTCCCCTTAGCAAATTAGTTTAAACCCTCCCCTATAGCAATAGTTATCTCCCCACAAGGATGTTTGGTGCAGCCAGGTTCAGATGCCCTTGTTCATCTTGTACAGGTCCCACCTGTCCCAGAACTGGTCACAATACCCCAGGAATCTGAAGCCCTCCCTCTTGCACTATTTCTCCAGCCACACATTAACCTGCTTTGTCTTGGAGAACTGAGAAAGGTGAACCAAGTGGGAATAATGGAGGATATGGAACAGGAGAGGGGCATTTCGGTGATGTCAGCTCAGGTCGGCAGACGGATGTATATGCCGAGGCTAGGCATGGTTAGCCCGCTGGTAGGGGGTGTAAGGGGAGCAGTGTGGTAGTTCGTCACTGGACCCAATAAGTACGCATGCAGCGACGGGTCAAGACTGCATTTCCCCTGATTCAGTGCATCTCGACTTCCATGCAATTACCTGCAACAACAACAAATTGTTACATTTACATTTTTAAAGCACCTTTCACAGCATTGGAATCCCATTGAATCTCAAGTAGTAAAGGTCTTCTGCGCATGTGTCAACAGATCAAGCTTACGTTTCCCACTATTCAATGCATCAACAGGTTAGGACGTCATTTCCCGCGATTCAAAGCAAATGGTAAGTGTGGAGAGTAGGGTGCGGCGCTAATAGTTAGGAAGTGGTTAATACGAGTAACGCAAAGTAATTTAAGTGGTTTTGAATGGAGTCACATTCTCCCCTCACAGTCACATTTCCCCCAAACCCCCCCACACACAAACATACACAGAATCACACACCCCCACCCCCACATACACACAGTCACATCCCACACAGACACACACACATACACTTATAGTCACATCCCCCCACACGCACAGTCACAACAGTGATTGTGTGTGTGTGTGTGTGTTTTTATGTGGGTGGGTGGGGGACTATGTTTGTGTGTGTATGGGTGTATTTTTTTGTGTGGGGGAGATGGACAGGATTGTGTGTGTGTGTGTGCTCATATGTGGAATGTAACTCTGTGGAATGTGACTGTGTGTGTGACATAACTATATGTGATCACTGTGTGTGTTTGTGTGACATGACTGTGTGTGTGTGGGAAGGGGATGGAGGAACGTGACTATGCATAAATTGGTTGCTGTGTTTGTCTACAAACAAACAGTCACTACACTTAACAGACATGCTTTGTGATATTTCAGTGAGAAGGTGTTCCATTAAATGCAAGGATTATTGTTATAGTTATCACATTATATTAAAAGTATTAACTATAAATACACACAAAAGGATATAATCATCAGTAATTATTCTAGTAACAAAATCTGAGCACTGTCGTGGTTTAAGAGGAACACTATTTGGTGAAATATTTGTGATTCTTTGTACAGTTAATCAGAGATGTTCTTTGTCTATCATGACACAAGATGTTAAGACCGGTTACAAACAAATGGTTCCTTTGATCTCAGGAAGCAAAGTGCATCTGTGAGATTTTGAATCACAGAATCAAATAGAAACAAAAGTCAAGCAAATGAAGATCAGTTTTAACTCGTTGAAATAGCTTCATAAATAAAATAAATTGCAATAACAATTTCATTCCATTTCCAGCCAAGCTTTCAGATGGGATTAAATGCAGTCACTCGGGAGGTTGTAACAATCTTTCCATCTCTCACAAATTGCAGCAAAACAGTAATCCCACTGCTGCACATTTCAAGATCGCAATCCATCCCGATTATTAAATAGCAATCAGCATCTGGGCACTGACACAGACAATCCTCTTAACCACCTGTTTCTGCAGCACTAAGTCCCAAGCATTCCAATCTTTCTGCCTCACAAGGCACATCGTGACATGAAGGTAGTAAATATAGAAGTGATTCCTAAATGAAGCCACATTTGTTCTGGGCAAAGGTTTTTCAACTCCAGGGAAATTACTACTCAAATGGAATATTAATTTCCACATGGAGCAATTACGCAACATGGCTAATCTTTCTGTGACCAGGTGCACTTAGTTATAATAATAATCCTTAGATTTAATATGCCACTTCATTGCATCATCAAGACATCTTAATATACTTCACAGTAAAATCCTGTGAAGCCCTCTGACTGTATTTTCAATACAATTAAAATTGACATTAATGCAGCACCTTTCACATTGGGAGGACATCCCAAAGTGCTTGACAATGAGCTAGTGTGGGAGCTGGGGAAAGATGACCAAAGGCACGGTCAAAGTGGTATATCTTCAGATAGAATGAGGTGATGGGGCAAGAAAATCATTGGGAATCTGGGATGGAGTTCCAGAGAGTAGGGGCAGAAGGGCTCATATCTTATGCATCACCGGTGGGACAGATAGGTTGGCAGACATGAATCAGGCCAGTGCTCAGTGAGCGAGGTGGAGTTTGATGCAGTTTGAGATGGTCACAGAGGTAGCCTGTGTGGAGTTCTGGAACACATTGGTTGGAGCCTCGTCTCGCAAGCGAGAGGACCTGAGTTTGATTCCCGGGCAGAGTCAGACATTAGGCAAGTTTCCTTACTCCACACCTCTGTTTACTTAGCAGTAAGTAAGAACCATTTGTTAGCTGATTGGCGGATGGCTTTTCCGGGTGTAATAAACCCGTAAAAAAATTTGGTCACTCGATCCATGATAGTTTGTGAGACCCTGCTGTGTACAATTAGCTGCCAAGTTTCACCCACAAAATAGAGTCAATTCACTTTACAGTACAGTCTGTGAAGTGCTTTTAGAGACGTCTCAAAAATATAATACAGTGCTATATCAATTGTAAGGATTATTATTAGGATGGAGGAAGATTATGGAGGGATTTAAAGTTGAGAATGAGGAGTCGGTGTGGGAGCCTGGTGCAGGAAAGAGCACAAGCTGCAGAATTTGGATAGATTGCAGTCTGTGTAGGGAAGAGTTGGGAAGTCCAGTGATTGTCAAGCCGGGGCATGATGAAAGCATGGATGAGGATCTTAGCAGCCCGAGA